GGATCCTGTGTTTTTCTGTTCAGAGCCTTGAGATGACTTCTGTTGCGACTTGGCACTATATAAATAAACTGAACTGAATTGAAATTGAAATTAAATTTGTCACTTCCTGTATGTTTTTGCTAAAAAGCAGAACTTCTTCTTAGTTTGTGTACTGGGGATCAGTTGTGGCTACTACGACACCCAATTTCAGTTCACTGGCCATAAAACTGATCTCTCCATCCATGCGATCTGTCAGATTATTGATCTGGTATTTATTTTCTTGTCAATTCTACCTGTCAAGCTCTGTGATGCCTCTTCTTTTCACATTCTGTCCAACAGTCTGACAAAGGTGTGCTCCAGAAACAGATATTGGGTTTCAGAGTCAGTTTTAACCAAACTTTAACTTGAAAAACATCACGCTAGCTTGTCTTAAGACAGCAGCCCATGACAGTATCCCTCCCTCCATGATGCTGAGGTGTGACACAGACTGGGCCCCAATATGTCCCTTGTATGTATCAGAAAAGCAGCCATTGATGTGCACATTTGTGCCATCAAGAGTCCTTTTCATCTCATTAAAACACAAAAACGTCTATTATAACATAAAAAAAAATCTTAACTTGGTAGTTTGGTGCTTTTTTATCTATTTGACATATTCCTCTTGAGTTCTTCAGGTAAACTGAATATTTTAGTGATTACTGCTACATCTACTTTTAGAACTGAAGTATCATTATTTGCCATTTTATCACCATACGTTTAGACAGAAATTTTGGTTGATTGCATAATTTAATTCCAAGAGTGTTTGCTGTTGTTGATGCTTTTCTTGTTGCTGCTCACCTTTGCTGCCTAAAATGTATTGACTCTTAGCACGTCTGTAAGATAAATAAATACCATGTGTGTGTATGTGCAGGATGCTCAAATTAAATTAACTGACGACATTCCATCTTTATCTGAGAATATGGGCCAAGAAGTAGAAACTCTACTCTGTCGCAAAGTTGATTTCTAAAAATATGTTGTTTATGTGTTTTTTTCATGTTGCTATTTTGGAGTTGGATTGTTGGTCAAAGCAATGTGAGACAGTGGAAGAAGGCCAGAGCTGTGAATTTGGCCGTAGCTGAGCCTCTTCAAAGGGACCTGCTTGGTGGCGTGGGGCAGATGGTACCGATGATGTCTGAGCCAAATTTATAGCTCTTAATGCCTTTTTTATTTATTTTTTTTCTAATGTCCTGCTTTTTAGCTCTAAATGCAAAGAACAAATCTGTCTCACATTTGGAATTTTTGTGTATTTTCAAGGACATTTGTTTGATTTCCAAACCTGATCTAACCGGTTCAGGGTCAGAGGGAAAGGGCCTAGAAAGTATTCATTCAGTCATTGAGTAAGAGGTGATGTACATTCAGTTAGAGCAACCAATCCATCACAACAACTGTATTTTTGTCAGTTTTCTGTTTTCTAGGATTTATTAGCTGTGGCGACCATCTTAAACTGTGTTGACTTCAACAGTTAATTTATTGTAGATCCAATGAACATCCAATGATCATGTTCTGAGAATCTAATTAGCATCCATTCCATGGTTTGCTTGATATTTTGCTAACAGACACACATAGGCAATTACACTAACATATTACGTTAGGAAGCCAGCGTACAAAGAGAAACCTTGAAGAGGCGAAGGGAAAACGGATCAACTCAACACAGTTTGCTGTGATGCAACAACTTCCAACTGCACCTTGCCATCACTCCTGCTATTTTCAACATTATGTCAGAAATAAACAGAAACAAAGCATTATGCTTCCTGTTTTCCATCTGAAAGGCCAGAGAGGTGGAAACAACTTTCTGATCAGCATGAATCAGTCTTCTCTTGTGCCTGCTTTTCCTCTGCATCGAGTCGACCATTCATCTCCTTTCTCGAGCATCACTGGCTCATCTGACCAGTTTCTTCTGATGTTGTTTTGTTGCCATGGTTTCCAAGTGCTACAGTATGCACCAGAGTACCGTCTGTGCAGAACAGCTCTCTGTGTTCTCGTTGCTATCACCGGCCAAGACAGCTGCCACTTCATGAGGCGGCTACGGATCGCCAAACCACACAGAGTTCACAAAACTAGAACAGGCAGCGTAGACGTCATCCAAACTTAATAATCTGTCACTTTTCATTCATTTTACTCACAAGAAGCCAACAGGATCTCAGTTATCTGACAGCTTTAACTTACCAACCTGTCGGTGGACGCCCAATAGAATGAGACATTACACAGGTATTCCAGTCAGTGCTCTGATACTGGTACTAAGTGTTGAGCACTTTGTTTCAATAAATAATCAGTTTTTGATTTGCAAGAAGGGGAAACAGACACTAATTAGAATAAAATATGTGTGGTGGATGTTTCACTTGAGTGGTCTTAGTTTTTGCCATGTTGGACATTTATAAATGACCAATAACTAAAGTGCAAACCCAATTCTACACTTTATGACCCGAGCATAGCAGAACTGATCTAGTTTTTGTGCATTAAATTATTTATAAATGTGGTTTGGATTATTTTCTAAATCCCAGAGTTGATATATACTGTATATACATTTTTTACAAGAACAGTTTCATGCCTTGATTCTTTCTGCAGGAGACGGTCACTAAATTAGATCTCTTCATAGGCAGAAGTGTTCTGACATGCCCACTTCTCCTTCATAGTTTGAGCACCATCAGTGTGAGGACAACTTGGTTGGGTGTGAAATGGTGACAAGTAATGACAAGAAGGAGGACTGTGTGACTGAGAGGAGCTTAAAATGAACTTAGAAGCGAGCTGTTCGAGGACGTCTTCAACTTGCGTTAAGTTTGTTTCGAGTTGACTTTTCAGCGACTCGTAAATCTGACAGCAAAATCCAATTTAACAAGTTTGTGTTGCACAGATGACATCAGGTAAGAGGAAGATTAACAACTTTTCACATCATGCATCTGCACAGAAAGCACTGAAGCTAAAAATCCCAAGCCAGTCTAATTATTTTATTACCACAAGTTTTATCAGAGGTGATCAAATGCAGCTGTAAAATAACAAAATTATTCTGATCATTCTTCATTTCTTGCACATTTTTTTACATTGTTAATGTTGTTTTTTATTTAAATTGTGCTCACTTACCTTCAATAGAGTAAACTGCTTTTAATCAGGTATCCTCTTCCTTTTTTCCCCCCTCTTGTTTTTAGTTTTATTTATTAAATTTTTTTTTATCTTTTCGTGCAGCTTCACTTTGCTCCGATCTTCCACCTCAGCGCGTTGTCAGACAAATGTAAGCTCCTCGAACATTTCCAACAGTCAGCTTATTCACCGGAGTGCTGTTACGTGAATGTGTGATGGTCAGAGCAGGCTGTGATGATGCAGGGAGGAGGAAGAGGAGGAGAAGGAGGGTGTGCGTGTGTGTGTGTGTGTCGCTCCAGTGTCTGATTGCGCCTGCAGCATTGCATCAAATGTTTCCACATCATCATTTCTACAACTTTTATCCGTGATGTTCACACCGCTCAACTGGAGGTTGGAGTTGAGGAGGACAGAATCAAAAGATCTCCTTCTTCCTCTCCTCTTTTACACAAAACACTTTTTCTGGTTAAGCTTGAATGTGAGCAATATTATCCTTATTTTGTAAAAAAAATCAAATAAAAGGCTAAATTCCAGTTTGATTTTGTGAGCCAAACAAAATTGTGCCTTATCAGTTGAGAGCTGGTGCATTTTTATGTAACACAAGAGCAAAAGAACATGAAGATATTTTATGAAGATTGTGAAGCAGCAGTGGCTCAAAGCCAGTCCCTGCTGCTCAAAAGAAATTGATAAATAATGCAAAACAAGCAATTCTTGATGGAATGCACATCGCTCGCCAGCTTAGATGCTAAAGTTTTAGGTAACTATCTTACATGATTTATTAATCATTAGAATACATGTTGAGAAAGACATGGCACAGCAATGTTTAGCACATCTAAAGGACTGTGGTATAACAATTTTTATGTTTGATAAGATCAATTAACTGTGCTGGCTATTTTGGATCAGGTTTACTTCAAAAGCTAATCTGTTATATATCAAATGAATTCTGAGAGAGTCATTTAAATCCATCCAGTGTTTCATGAGATGTTTTGCTAACAGACCAACAAGGCTGACCTCAACAGTAAATGTTCAAAGATCCTGCCTACTTTGTACGCACTTAGAGAATGTTAGAAACAAGTCTCAGCTATGACCACACCAAACTGTAGCTCAATACCTGTAAAAGTGACTTTTAATTGTGTTTTCTATTGGCGGCCGTCTGTTATGTTATGTTATGTTGTTTATTTGTCATATGCAGGTTAACACAAGGTCAACAATGAAATGTTCAGGATGAGAAGAATCAATTCGACTCGTTAAAAACAACAACAAAAACAAACAACCAAGAAACACTAAAGCATGCCATAAAGGTACAAAAATAAAGTACCAAAAAGTGAAAAAGTAAATTTAATATTTGCAAGGTCCAAAAGAAATATAGTAAACAACAAGATGGTAGAATATAATGGTGCAAATAGGATGAATTTGTATAAATAGGTATTTCACAGGTAGTAATATAAGCTAAAATGCACATGATACATATAGTACATAACTAACATAAGCTACACAGGTTGTGTGACAGGTTATTGCACAGGTAACGTTGAGATTAATTGAATTATGATGGTAAGGTAATGACATGCACGTCTTGAATCAAATTTACTCCCAAAACTTTTTTCTTTTCTTCCAAGGCTGAATCCACCCGTCCTCTCCCATGGCCCATCCTCCACCCCACCAACAGTATCACCCCCCCCCCCCCCATGGTAGAGACCCCAAAGCCCACCAGCGCACCAAGGGCCCCCAGGCCAAGGCGGGGCGCCGGTGCATGCACTAATTAATTGCAGGTAATCATCTAATAATTATTTTCTGAGAGCTTCAATAAAATCTGTCAAATTATTCATCAACTATTTTGCTAACAGACATACAAGACTAGCTGTTTGAAGGCGTCTACCTCATATATATATTTATACTGTATTTGGCCGTGGATGATCTTTACAGCTGAAATTAAACCGATTCAAAAGGCACATTTCAGGACATTCATGCCGTAATTCACACACAAAAAAAATATAAAATAAAATAAAAAATTCCCTGTAAGATTTTAGGTGTTGCAGATTTTTTTCATCTTGGCTCTGTTCTACAGTCATTTTGGATTTAGATATTATCAAGAGCAAAAATACTCAGAATTGGAATCATGCTGAGTGAGAACACTACAACCTGTAACTGAGAAACGCCTACAATGCAAGGGGCAGTTGTCCAATCAAAGTGAAAATATTTGCTTTTCGTCACCCTCACTTTAAGTTACATATAATAATGTACCAAAGTCCTGAGCAACCCCTCTGTTCTTCATATACTCATACAAGAACACATCATTTTGCTAAATCATCAGCATTAACAATTCTGGTTTGCGTCTTCGATCCAAGTTTTTGTATCTGTACAAGTCACAGGTCAGTGCAATAAATAAAACAAAGACACATTTAAATAAAAATCTGTGAAAATGCACTCTAAAAAGTCCATTTGGGCTGTAGTTCACTTTAGGGACTTATTTACATTACCAGTAATCTCACTGAACTATTTTGGTTTAGTGAAGAAAACTTACTTTTATGGGTTCAATGAACTTAAAAGTCACACAATTTTTTTCTAAAATGAGCTTTTTACGTTGAGTCCAAGTGAAACAACTAAGTTTAATGCAGCTTTAGTACGTCTGACATCATGATGTAAACTTTACCCGAGACAGATCCCACTCTACCTGTTTGGAGTCCATGATATTAAAAGCAAAAACAGAAAAAACTATTCATCATACATTTAATAATACCGGTACTCGGGGAGATACCACATACACAAATCAAAGTTTAGTCACTCCCTCTTTTCAGAAGGAGTCTGAACATTGTAAACATTTCTGACTGTAATAACAAGAAATAAAAGCATTTGATTTGGGCACCTTATTTAATGTGTTCATTTGAATAATCCCCCTGGCTTTTGTTTTTTGTTTGAATGTATATTAATAATTGTTGTCATAATGTTTTACTTTTAATAAAGATTTTCATTTTAAAAAAGATGTCACTTGTATCGAATACTTGTTCAACCGCCATTTTTTTGGAGCATCAACTATCGACGAGATCCGGACTAAAGAGTAAGTGAATTACAATGTCAATGTTTTTTACAATGAAAAGGTTTCATTTTGTTAATGGTTGAATATCCAGGAATTAGTTTTCTCTTATTTAATGGCCCCCTGAATATTTGTTTATTTATTAACCTTTATTTAACCAGGCAAATCCCACTGAGATCACAGATTTCTTTTGCAAGGGAGGTCTGGGCCTGAAGGCAGCCTTGCATGTTTTTGATCTGTGGGAGGAAACTGGATACCCAGACAAAACCCATGCAAGCACGAGAAGAACATGTAAACTCCACACAGAAAGGCCCCAGGTGCAACCGGGGATTGAACCCAGGACCTTCTTGCTGTGAGGTGTCAGTGTTAACCACTGAGCCGTTGTGCTGCCGGCGTTACATAAGCCTAAGCAAGTGTGCTACCCACCACAAGCTAGCATTTAATAGATGGTATAAAAAAGTAAGTAATACATTTTCTAACTTAAATTTGAAACATTTATTCATTCTCTGTGGTTTAGGTTGAAGCAATGTCACTTATTTGCTCTAACACATTAACTAGTCTTAATTAGCTGCACTGTTTGGTTGGGTTCAAGTCTCAACGTGTTTTAAACAGGGCTTAATTTGTAAACTGATCGATGACGGAATGCAAATAGTGGGTGGGCAGGGGGCTGCAAGTGTATGTGTGTGTGTGTGTGTGTGGGGGGGGGTGTCTGTGAGTCATCCTCCAGAAATTTTTGAATAATGTAGATGCCATTTCCTGCATTTTGGTGTATTTTAACGGGTTGTTTAACATCTATGTTTATGAATCAATAACTATTTTAGAGAGCAACAACATCTCTCTCCTTCTGTGTGAATGTGTGTTCGGCTGTGTGTGTGGGGCACACACAAGGCAAACACCGCCCCCCCCCCCCCCCCCCCCCCCCCCACACACACACACACCCCACGGCCCCGTGCCTGACTTCTCCGCTGAATTCAGTCCTACGCGTTGTTGTCCGACTCCACTCACATGTAAAACTTCCAGACGACTCCTCAGTCTGTTCATGGCTGCCTGTTATCTCGGCACTGACCCCCCCCACACCCCCCACCCACCCACACACACCATTTGCTCCTGCTCCAGTCTCGATTACCTGCCTTTAGGCGCTTCAATTCTCGGTTGTCCAACTAAGGACAATCCATCCATCCATCCATCCATCCAGCCATCCATCCATCCATCCAGCCAGGCAGCCAGCCAGCCATTTTTTTATGAAAGTAAATTGGACTGTCTTTTTGACATTTTGATTGCTGTTATTTTGACAAATCAACGCCGTTGTTTTGATACGAGATGTAATGTGAATAATATACATCAAACATTTCTCTTGTTGTATTTAACTGTCAAAATGTTTTGCAATTTAGTTGTGCTGTTTGATAATATAT